AAAACCATATAGACTTCCAGTGAACTTTTGCAGAATATCATAATTTGGTCAATAAAGATATTTAGAAACAGAGGGTAAAAAAGGGAAATGGAAAGTTTAAAAATGTTGATCTTCAATTTATTTCATAGGTCACTGTTATCCCAGCTAATAAAATAATTAAAAACACGCAAGCAGCTGGTACTACAGCTAAACAGATGAATGTAATAGTCTGTGGTCATATGTGCTGGCAAGGGGCTCGCCTCTTTGGAGAGGAGGAGGTCAGCTGCCCTTGGGGAGGTGAGTGGAGGAGAGGGAGCAATCCCTCCACCAAAGGGCCAGGAGCTGCAGCCCCTAAGTTAAACGTCCACTGCCAGCTGTGCATCGGCAAACTCCTTTCACACCCAGCAACGGTCTCTCAGTTTTCATGGTTAAATAAGACCCAGAGAAAGCTCATTTCATCTAACAGAAAACATTAAATGGATCTTTAAAAAGCACAAGATAGATTGCATAAACCAAGTTTTCTAAGTTTTTATGATCCTTCCACTTTAATGCAATGTCTGCAAATGAGTTGGGTGATAAATAATCAAATTTTAACAAAAACTTCCACAACAAAATCTAGGCTATTACCCGGGCATCACGGAATGACCACACTGGTGCCTTAGGAGTTAAATGCAGCTGGGCTCTATCTGAATCAATGAAGCAAAACCACAAACCCAAAGTAATACCTCCTAGCCTATGACAACACCTCTGTGAGCCTGAGGCACATAAAGCTATGGTTAGGGTCCATCGACTGTAGACTTCAAAGTTTGCCAAAATTCCAAACACCCTCCTCTGAACTTACACCGGTACTAACACATCTTCCCTCTCTCCCTGCTGCGCGTGTGCGTCTGTCACACCGGGAGCCTGGAACACACGGCAGAGGCTGAGCGCGCCAAGCCTCGCGTGGCACTCGTCTCAGCCCCTTCTCTGCTAACAGACAGCTGTTATTTTCCTGTAAGACATTCTGGGCTTAAATCTTCCTTTTGCTGTCTCTAGGAGCACAGTGTGAAGCAAATTCTACAGTGCCTGAAGACGAGCAGCGGTGATGGTGAGGATGGCGTCGACCGGGAGACAAAAGCAGCTCATACTGGGCATTTGCCGCACGGCATCATCCAACATTAACTCCTTGAAGCAAGTGGGGTTTCTCACCCTCACGCTCGAGGTGAGGGAACTAAGACTTGTCCAAAGTCTCTGGGGTCAGACAGGCACCAACTCACTATGTCTACATATTATTACCAAACGAAAACTGAAACAACGGAAAGCAGACTGTGCCGTTTTAAACCTGACCATCGGAGACCACAATAATGTAAGCAAATAATGGAAAGAACACAGATTTAGGGGACCAATCCAAGACTGGATTCAAAAGCTAATAAAGCCTCAGCCTGTAGCAGGTTGCACACAGAGATGACGGCAAAAAGTTGCCAATTTCCATGAGGGGAACACAAAGAACTACCAATAATAATGCACGGTTTTGCATTCAGATTTTCAAAAGGCTTCATCTTACCCAATTCTACCGCAGTCTTTAAAACAGCTGTGGCAAGGAAGCAGGCTGGACACCATGATGTCCATTTTACAGATGAGAGAGCAAAGCCAGTCACTAGCGCAGACACAAGCAGAGGCAGCTCGAGGGTGTCGGGGCCAGAGCTGTCTGTGAAGGAAGGTCCGGATTTCCGAGGCAGCTTGAACAGTACAAACATAGATCTGTCAGGCTAAAGGATGTTTGGGGGCTGGAACATTCACGTTTTTCTAATAACCTATTTCTGGTTGATTTAAAAGAGCTATGATAGTAACAAAAAATTTTCATTTTCAAAACTGAATTTCACTGACACTTCTTATGGCCATGTTAGTGTGATTCTGCAACAGTTCCTGGCTTTCATTGGTTGACCTTATATGAAAATATGCCCCAGAGCTGTGCTGCCATGAATTCTGCATTTAAGCCAAGTGTCAGAGTCATAAGTAAGCTCGTTATGTTGTAAGAGCTATTGCCTACTGAGTAGAAAAATACTCATTTCACACCTTAAATGCCGTACTACTACTTAATAACAGCATCGGCCTGCCAACAATTAAAAGCTCATTTTTATATACTGTACGACTTGAGCTTTTTATCTTGCCATTTTAATTACCACAATAAATTAATATCTTAACATTACAACACTGAGAGGCATTGAGTAAAACTATATTAGTTAACAACATTAGTATTCATTGTGCCAAGTTGTATTAGGAGTTTGCTTCAAAGTACAATTATCATTCAATAATACTACGCTACTTTAATCTTCAAACTACTCAAGAAAACAAACTACAAGATAATACTATGCCTTCACAATGACATATTTCTCTTAACTTTATATTATGTCCATTATTTATTATAATTAGCTAAACTACAAATGTAATTGTGAAATATAATTTACCAACAAAATTTATATATACATGAGGATTTTCCTTCCTTTGCAATACATCTCTATTTTCCTTTTGTCTTGGGCTTTTTTTAGTTGTATTTATATCTAATGCTATTTCCACCATGTATTTCACATATTATCACATTCATATTCCTCAGTTACATACCAAACATGAGCATTTATTTAAATATCTCTTTAAGTCACATTTTGTTGCTGTCGGGACCAACATGCTGAGATAGAGGATTCCACCTATTATTTAATATGTCAAATTCCAAGCTTTCGACTGCACTTCAGTACTGAGAGAGGGATCTGGAGCACTCTAACCCTTACCAGGTGGGACGGGTGCAGAGAACATAATGACAACATATGAGCTTTACTGCCACGATAACACCCGTCTACAACACCACGGGAACACAGGCTTTTTGTAACTCCCGTGACACTTGAATCACTGATTATTTCAAAAGACCCCAACTGGCATAAAATAAAGATGTCAAGCATCTCAATTACCATCTCATTTCGGGAATTCATAAACAAATTGTAAAAACCTTCACAATCACTGCATTCTTGTTAGGTGCTTCCTGTGTCTAAGGCCCTACTGTGGATGTTAAAAGCTTGCCTGGGAGCTGAAGAAACAAATGATATACTTCCAGTCAGGGATGCAGAATATGTAGTCAAGAATATAAAGAACCTAAGCACAAATTCCATCTTTATGATACAAAAGAAGGAATTACAGCTTAATATTTGAATGTTTCCAAGTGAAGAGTGGTTCCTGCATATATTTCAGAGCGTCAGTACACAAGAATCAGAACTTATTAACCCTAAGGACAACTCTCCAATCAAAGGATTTCTTCAAGAATCTGCACTGCTACCTACAATGCCAAAAGGTGTTATTACTTGATCTGTACTTTATTCTCCTAAAAAAAAACACTACCCAGTTCTTACATCACTCTGGTTCACTAGATGGATTTCTAATACTACTGGAAACACTTTAATCTTTCCACTTCCTAGGTTTCCCTATTAAGAAGATATAAAATTCAAAAACATTTACTCAAGGAAATTCAAGTTACATAGAGAATATTACCAAATGACTAGATAAGATGCATGCTTTCTTAATTCGTGTATCCTTTTGAAAAATTGCTAATTGAGATGTAACTGCCCTGTTTGTTGAGGAGTGAAATGGGATATTAACAAACAGCCCTTAACATAAGCATGGATTACATTTCAGACTCTCTCAGATGCTCATGAGCAGGTACTCTGAATTACTGGGAAATGTAGGCAATCAAAGGAAGCCTTTAGTATCGTAAGAGATATACTGCAAAAGCAGAAATAAAAATGGATTATGATGAAGCTTAATACTGCATGTGCAATGATTCCAATTATCTTGCTATATATGATAAAAACAGATATTTACAGTGAACCATTTACTCAAGAACTAAGAATTGTTATATTTTCCTCTACTCAGTCATCTTGCAGAACAACTGTGTATCACCATATTGTTTGCATTTGTCATACTAAAAGCACAGATTACAGGTCCTCACAACTCTGAGATTAGAATCCTGTAAGGTTAGGTATCTTGTACATAATCTTATAATGTTATGTATCTGTGTATTCATTACCTACCTGTAGGAATTAGAAGTCTCATCAGAATCTAAAGTAGAACTTGCTCTTCTTCCATTTTTATTTGAACCTCCTGGGGGAAAAATTTAGAAACATTGAAATAATGGAGATTATGAAACTGCGTATTTCAGTTGAAAAGTTACTGTGATAGGTCTATGCAGTACGCCGAGTCCAAAAACATATACCCTTTACCCTCCCCCAAATATTTTTTGTAATCAGAAAGCATTAAAGAAAAAATTCATTTTGATGCTAAAATATAGGCTATCACCACAAGTCCAACTTGGACAGGAGCACTACACCATGACCACTGCTAACAGGAACGAATAAAGTATATAGTACAGCCATTTTCCTCTTCTGAATCGCAGACAAAACCAGAACTTATAAACCATTTAATCACACACTAATGTTTACAAACAAAGCACAGTTTTTTTAACTTTTTTAGTGATTTAGAATCATTTTACAATGTTGTGTCAAATTCCAGTGTAGAGCACAATTTTTCAGTTATACATAAATATATATATAGTCACTGTCACATTTTTTTCTCTGTGAGCTACCATAAGATCTTGTCTGTATTTCCCTGTGCTGTACAGTATCATCTTGTTTATCTATTCTACAGTTTTGAAATCCCAGTGTATCCCTTCCCACCCCCACCCCCTTGGGAACCACAAATTTGTATTCTATGTCTGAGTCTCTTTCTGTTTTGTATTTACGCTTTTTGTTTTTTGTTTTTTTTAGATTCCACATATGAGTGATCTCATATGGTATTTTTCTTTCTCTTTCTGGCTTACTTCACTTAGAATGACATTCTCCAGGCGCATCCATGTTGCTGCAAAATGGCGTTATGTTGTCGGGTTTTATGGCTGAGTAGTATTCCATTGTATAAATATACCACATCTTCTTCATCCAGTCATCTGTTGATGGCCATATAGGCTGTTTCCATGTCTTGGCTATTGTAAATAGTGCTGCTAGGAACATTGGGGTGCAGGTGTCATCCTGAAGTAGGGTTCCTTCTGGATACAAGCCCAGGAGCGGGATTCCTGGGCCATATGGTAAGTCTATTCCTAGTCTTTTGAGGAATCTCCATACTGTTTTCCATAGTGGCTGCACCAAACTGCATTCCCACCAGCAGTGTAGGAGGGTACCCCTTTATCCACAGCCTCTCCAGCATTTGTCATTTGCGGATTTTTGAATGACGGCCATTCTGACTGGTGTGAGGTGATACCTCACTGTAGTTTTGATCTGCATTTCTCTGATAATCACTGATACTGAGCATTTTTTCATGTGCCTATTGATCATTTGTATGTATTCCTCAGAGAATTGCTTGAGGTCTTCTGCCCATTTTTGGATTGGGTCACAAACAGAGCACAACTTTTATCAGTGACCAAGTCACCCATCCTGTCCACTGCTGGGGTCGAAAGCGAGCAGGCAGAGAGCAGACCTACAATGTTTCCCCGGCCCGGCCATCCACGCTCTAGGAACGTGGTCAGCAGACAGGACAGAGAGCTGTCTGGAGAGGTGGTGATCAACAGTGCCTTCCAGTGAGCTTTTAATACACCTTCATAATCTTCCCCAAACTTTTATGTTTTAACTGTAGGCAAAAGTTTAGCAGTTTAAAAAAATGAAAAAAAAACCCACAGAAATCAAACAACAACTCAACATCAAAAGGTATTTCTGCCTCATGCTGTAATATCAAACTTTTAGGGAAAAAACATTTGCACTCGATCTTACTCAAAAAATTAGATTGAGAACAAATTCTACCTATCAGTTTAAAGATCACAGAGTAAAAATACATTTTCTAAAGAAGTTAAAAACATGTTTACCAATGACATAAAATATTCTTAATGAAAGAAATATAATTTTAGCTTAAATTTTAAAATACGTAATTCAAAGTGTACTTTTTATGAAACCATAGTGGGCTACTACTAAACATACCATGCATTCTTAGAAACAGATTAAAAAGGCCAGAATCTGATTACATTTTATACTAATTCCTGTTCTGTAACTTTCAAACATCAGGTTATATTCATTTTTGTGATATTTAAAGCCTAATAATTTAATGATTTCTTTAATTTTAACTTATACTTTTAATCCATTCTGAACATTCTAAGATACCACTGGAGGTTATCACAGTGGTCTTGTTAAGTCAAATAGCAATTACACAGTTTTCAGTTTAGAGATGAGATTATTTTTAATTATTGAATATAGCACTTAAGGTACCATACTTATATGATTACGCTGCTCATTAAATGGTTATTGAAAGCTAAAATGTAATTTTAATGACAGCTGCCTATTTTTCTTTGCACATTTTATAGTCAACAGATTAGTCAAGAATGTTGCTTCTCTTCAAAATCTTTGCAGCTGCACCCAAAGTGTTTAGAAGAAGGAGAACTGGTCTGAACCCATTTGATAATAACTTTTAAGTCTACTCTTTCTTCAAAATGCACTTTGAGGTTTTTTTTTTTATTAAACAAAAATCCTGAAATTGACTACAGTATTGGAAAATGTTGCCAAATTCTATAGAAGAAAAGAATCCAAAACACTTGAATGTTTCAGAACAACCTCGCTGAATATATTTTGTTAATTCTTGGAAAATATGGGTACCATAACATAACTCAAACAACATATTTCATTTTCCTTTTTAAAAAATTAATGGTGTTATCATAAAGAAATGAAAAAGATTTAAGGAAAAATAATCTCTGTCTTGCTAAGTGACAATTTCCTACAACACACGTTATTAAACAGCTTGCAAACATTTCCTGTGAAACGTTCCATAATCAGCACAGAATAAGTACTTTATCATACGTTTAAAATCTGAGCTTCCCTTCTCCTTAAAACCAAAGAGTATGATTACTTACATACACAAAAATCTCACCAACAGAGTATCTCTTGCCCTCTGCTGATATTTATCATATCAACTATAAAACATTTCAAAATTAAGAGACTTCTAGTTTTTAAACAACTAGGGTTTGCCATCAAAATATATTACAAAGGTTTTCTTCATTTTATACCCGTTTGGAAATGAATATATCACATTGAATGTAACCTTCAAAGATAATAAGGAAAAAAAGCAGTTTTACTTTCTCAAAAACAAATTGAATAAGGAATGCAATTGTTTCTCTAAACAATATTAGAAAGAAGATTTCAGAGTTTGCTATACGGGGAAAAGGTAATAAAGTTTCGAAGTGGGAAAAACTGCTTTGTTCCTTCAGTCCTCTAGTTGAAATTAATTATAGCAAATGTTTATGAAAACATCTGTTCCTTACAGTTATAAATTCTTAATTTTAATATTGGATGATTACAGACTCTTATTTTGGACAGAAACTATCTGACAATTGAAAGGTTTACAAAAGAACAGTCGGAATTTGTAATCCTGGAAAACTGTATACACAGGGTGCTATGTCCTGTATAGATTTTCATTTTTGTGTGTGAAATACTTGCAGGGCCTTAAAATTGGTATCTAGGAAAAATCAAAGACAAACACAAGGTCTCATTTTTCATTGAAGCTGTTATGCAATAAAAAGATATCTGTATCATGAGAAAAAATAACTGAAGAATTAAAAACAAATGCTCCTTTACTATCAATCTAATCCGGAGGTAAGTATAATACACCAAGTATTAATTTTATCAGAGATTTTAGTTAGTCTAATGCCAATACAGTCATGGAAAGGCGTGTGTGGTAATCCCCCAAAATAACAACAGAGGGTGCAAGAGAGTTTAATATGATGTTTTTAGTTGCTGTTCTGATTACTGAACCAAGTTGTCAAGTGTAACTGTAACAAGGATGCATAGGTTGTTTTCAAATCTCTCTCTTGCTCACAAACACACACACACACACACACATTAGTAATCTCGCACAAAGACCTTTAAATGCTCAAACAGCACAAATACCTAAAAATGTTTTAAGACAACAGTCTTTCACTTGCTTGAAAAATAATTAAACAATAGACTAAATTTTAAAGAGACAATTGTGATTTTAAAGGTAGTTGATATACAACTTAAACTAACCAATAAAATAAACTGGATATATTTCAGTAATTTAAAATAAATACATAAATTATATACAATATATAATACAAGTTTTATATGTCACTATGTATATGCATAACATTGTACAACATATATATTTATAGGAACAGTTCATCAATTACTTGTGACCACTACAGTTTGAAATTTACATAGCACATTCATTTCTCATTAGTTGGTAACTTTGTAAAATGAGTTCATAACATTCACAATTAAATTAAGTCGGCTGATTTGAAAAAAAAGTGCTTGTAGTTATATTATTTTTAATGAAGATACAAGAGCATAGTATTTTCCATTAGTAATTCCCAAAATACATGTATCTAACTTACAAAGCCTCTAATATGTATAATGGTGACTTAAATTTCAAAAATAGGATAAATTAAATTTGGACTCCTTTTCAGTGTTTACTGCAGTCATGTGTAGCTAAGGACATTTAATGTATCTATCTGTGCATGTTGAAATCATGTTAAATGAAGGTTTACAATAGATTTCTATAGTGCTTTTCATATACAAACATCTGCTTCCTGAAGGGAGAACAAGATTTTAGACTAGGTGAGGTTAAAAACAGCTAGAATAATGCTATAGTTATATATATAACATATATATATAATTAAACACACCTACTTAACTGTACCTTCACTTTACACATAAAAAAAATCAAGTTTAAAAGTGTATCACACTGGGTATGAATTCTGAGTACTACATAATAAATAAAGGTTGATCTCTGAGTTTAGAGAAATGTCATCAAGTGTGTGTGATGAATATTTAATAGTAAGAGGAAGAAATATTTTATTCAAACTAAGTTGAAAACAAAGCTATAGGTAGCCATATTTTAGCTGTGACAGGATAATAAGGCATAAATGAATAGCGTGAACACCTAAAACCTTTTGCGTCTTTAAGCGAATGAGGATTACTACTGAAATGTTTAGATAAATTTAAAAT